ACAACAAAAATAGAAAGAGCAAGTAAACCCCAATTCAACAGCTGGCATCTGCGCCATTGGTTGGTGTGTTTTCAATTCAGGATTTGACATTGGTTGGATAGGTCTACTAAACTTTCACCGCTAAATTTCCCATGAAGTGCTTGACGCCTCCCACGGGGAAACGACCCTCAATGGGAATGACGAAGACGTGCTCTTCCAAACCTCGACGTGGCGCACTTCTCTCCTATCAAACTCGAACTTCACGTCAACATGCAACTTCCTTCTTCAAATTCTATTGTAACGACTGCTTGTTGGATGAACTGCGTGAAGTCATGTACTGGCTGACCTGCAAATGGTTCATGCAAAGCATGTGCAAAGCACACTTTTTGGACCCTTTTACATGTCCTCTGCTCGGTCGGCTGAAGGCACTTTCTCATATTAAGGCACGATTTTGCCACCTCCCGCCGACCAAGCCTTGTCAAGACGGAGAAAATCCGCGCACAAAGAACCATCAAGCTCGGTCTCATGCTGTCTGCTTACTCAGCTGTCACTACCAAATAGCTGTAGGTCAACACATGTCAAATGCAAGAATCTTAGGGCGATGTTCGAGCCGTAGACAAAGGCGCAAGGAGACTAGACGCACCGTGGTGCACAAAGCAGGTCACCCGTGGTGCAACAAGTGAGTACAAGTTTCAACAATACTACTGACGGTCGTCTTGACCTGAGCAGTAACTGTCTGGCCAAGATCAGGCAATGCCTCTACGATCTGGTTCGTGTGAGACGCGGTCTGCGTAGGGTCGAGATGCTTCTCATCACAAATGAGGTTCACTTTGCGGACCAGATCTATCAATTTGGCTGCGTTCATGAGGGTACCCATGGCCAGACTGGAGCTCGTTTTGGCCAACTCCTGAGTGCGAGTTTTCAAGGCTTGCGGCGATCCTGTGCCGTCCAAGTAGGCGTGCCATGCTGCGTTCCACTGGTCATCGTCAGCACACTCATTCAGGAACTGCAGGTTATAGGACCCGCCCCACTTGTCGAAGAGCGCCAGTGCTTGACTCATCTCCTCCAACACCAACATCGTTTCAACCTTTGTACAAATGGTCCTGGCCGATGAACCCAAAATGCCTGTGGAAGATATTCAAGTTGTCCGGGCCAAGACTGTTGCTGTTCGGTTGAAGTGAGCACAACAAAAGGCCAGGCTCGATACTGGTTTGGTCTAAGTCGCTCACTCAGTCTATCACTCTGCTCTTGGCAACCCGACAAGAGCTCGAAGGAAACTGCGCACCAGAGGACATGGACGCGCAGCTCGAAACCAAGAAGATAAAACTCTAACCTCTACATACAACAATTTCTTTCCCCTCATCTGAACCAAACAACGAAATGAAAGCTAAGACTCAGATCCAGGGGTTTAGGGTCCTTCAGAGATTTGGAGGGTTTCGGTGACCCAAAGACCATGAGCTGTTCAAAGAGTGGAAACCCTGGGCTCCCCATGTAGCAATACTTAAAGTAGCAAGGATGCTCAAAAGAATGACCAGACCAGTCGTGATAAGAATGACCATGGTCGCACGGTCGAACGACAAGAACACAACAAAAATAGAAAGAGCAAGTAAACCCCAATTAAACAGCTGGCATCTGCGCCATTGGTTGGTGTGTTTTCAATTCAGGATTTGACATTGGTTGGATAGGTCTACTAAACTTTCACCGCTAAATTTCCCATGAAGTGCTTGACGCCTCCCACGGGGAAACGACCCTCAATGTGAATGCTGTCTGCTTACTCAGCTGTCACTACCAAATAGCTGTAGGTCAACACATGTCAAATGCAAGGTTCTTAGGGCGATGTTCGAGCCGTGGACAAAGGCGCAAGGAGACTAGACGCACCGTGGTGCACAAAGCAGGTCACCCGTGGTGCAACAAGTGAGTACAAGTTTCAACAATACTACTGACGGTCGTCTTGACCTGAGCAGTAACTGTCTGGCCAAGATCAGGCAATGCCTCTACGATCTGGTTCGTGTGAGAGGCGGTCTGCGTAGGATCGAGATGCTTCTCATCTCAAATGAGGTTCACTTTGTGGACCAGATCTATCAATTGGGCTGCGTTCATGAGGGTACCCATGGCCAGATTGGAGCTCGTTTTGGCCAACTACTGAGTGCGAGTTTTCAAGGCTTGCGGCGATCCTGTGCCGTCCAAGTAGGCGTGCCATGCTGCGTTCCACTGGTCATCGTCAGCACACTCATTCAGGAATTGCAGGTTATAGGACCCGCCCCACTTGTCGAAGAGCGCCAGTGCTTGACTCATCTCCTCCAATACCAACATCGTTTCAACCTTTGTACAAATGGTCCTGGCCGATGAACCCAAAATGCCTGTGGAAGATATTCAAGTTGTCCGGGCCAAGACTGTTGCTGTTCGGCTGAAGTGAGCACAACAAAAGGCCAAGCTCGATACTGGTTTGGTCTAAGTCGCTCACTCAGTCTATCACTCTGCTCTTGGCAGCCCGACAAGAGCTCGAAGGAAACTGCGCACCAGAGGACATGGACGCGCAGCTCGAAACCAAAAAGATAAAACTCTAACCTCTACATACAACAATTTCTTTCCCCTCATCTGAACCAAACAATGTAATGAAAGCTAAGACTCAGATCCAGGGGTTTAGGGTCCTTCAGAGATTTGGAGGGTTTCGGTGACCCAAAGACCATGAGCTGTTCAAAGAGTGGAAACCCTGGGCCCCCCATGTAGCAATACTTAAAGTAGCAAGGATGCTCAAAAGAATGACCAGACCAGTCGTGATAAGAGTGACCATGGTCGCACGGTCGAACGACAAGAACACAACAAAAATAGAAAGAGCAAGTAAACCCCAATTAAACAGCTGGCATCTGCGCCATTGGTTGGTGTGTTTTCAATTCAGGATTTGACATTGGTTGGATAGGTCTACTAAACTTTCACCGCTAAATTTCCCATGAAGTGCTTGACGCCTCCCACGGGGAAACGACCCTCAATGTGAATGACGAAGACGTGCTCTTCCAAACCTCGACGTGGCGCACTTCTCTCCTATCAAACTCGAACTTCACGTCAACATGCAATTTCCTTCTTCAATTTCTATTGTAACGACTGCTTGTTGGATGAACTGCGTGAAGTCATGTACTGGCTGACCAGCAAATGGTTCATGCAAAGCATGTGCAAAGCACACTTTTTGGACCCTTTTATATGTCCTCTGCTCGGTCGGCTGAAGGCACTTTCTCATATTAAGGCACGATTTTGCCACCTCCAGCCGACCAAGCCTTGTCAAGACGGAGAAAATCCGCGCACAAAGCACCATCAAGCTCGGTCTCATGCTGTCTGCTTACTCAGCTGTCACTACCAAATAGCTGTAGGTCAACACATGTCAAATGCAAGGTTCTCAGGGCGATGTTCGAGCCGTGGACAAAGGCGCAAGGAGACTAGACGCACCGTGGTGCACAGAGCAGGTCACCCGTGGTGCAACAAGTGAGTACAAGTTTCAACAATACTACTGACGGTCGTCTTGACCTGAGCAGTAACTGTCTGGCCAAGATCAGGCAATGCCTCTACGATCTGGTTCGTGTGAGACGCGGTCTGCGTAGGGTCGAGATGCTTCTCATCACAAATGAGGTTCACTTTGCGGACCAGATCTATCAATTGGGCTGCGTTCATGAGGGTACCCATGGCCAGACTGGAGCTCGTTTTGGCCAACTCCTGAGTGCGAGTTTTCAAGGCTTGCGGCGATCCTGTGCCGTCCAAGTAGGCGTGCCATGCTGCGTTCCACTGGTCATCGTCAGCACACTCATTCAGGAATTGCAGGTTATAGGACCCGCCCCACTTGTCGAAGAGCGCCAGTGCTTGACTCATCTCCTCCAACACCAACATCGTTTCAACCTTTGTACAAATGGTCCTGGCCGATGAACCCAAAATGCCTGCGGAAGATATTCAAGTTGTCCGGGCCAAGACTGTTGCTGTTCGGTTGAAGTGAGCACAACAAAAGGCCAAGCTCGATACTGGTTTGGTCTAAGTCGCTCACTCAGTCTATCACTCTGCTCTTGGCAGCCCGACAAGAGCTCGAAGGAAACTGCGCACCAGAGGACATGGACGCGCAGCTCGAAACCAAAAAGATAAAACTCTAACCTCTACATACAACAATTTCTTTCCCCTCATCTGAACCAAACAACGAAATGAAAGCTAAGACTCAGATCCAGGGGTTTAGGGTCCTTCAGAGATTTGGAGGGTTTCGGTGACCCAAAGACCATGAGCTGTTCAAAGAGTGGAAACCCTGGGCTCCCCATGTAGCAATACTTAAAGTAGCAAGGATGCTCAAAAGAATGACCAGACCAGTCGTGATAAGAATGACCATGGTCGCACGGTCGAACGACAAGAACACAACAAAAATAGAAAGAGCAAGTAAACCCCAATTAAACAGCTGGCATCTGCGCCATTGGTTGGTGTGTTTTCAATTCAGGATTTGACATTGGTTGGATAGGTCTACTAAACTTTCACCGCTAAATTTCCATGAAGTGCTTGACGCCTCCCACGGGGAAACGACCCTCAATGTGAATGACGAAGACGTGCTCTTCCAAACCTCGACGTGGCGCACTTCTCTCCTATCAAACTCGAACTTCACGTCAACATGCAATTTCCTTCTTCAAATTCTATTGTAACGACTGCTTGTTGGATGAACTGCGTGAAGTCATGTACTGGCTGACCAGCAAATGGTTCATGCAAAGCATGTGCAAAGCACACTTTTTGGACCCTTTTACATGTCCTCTGCTCGGTCGGCTGAAGGCACTTTCTCATATTAAGGCACGATTTTGCCACCTCCAGCCCACCAAGCCTTGTCAAGACGGAGAAAATCCGCGCACAAAGCACCATCAAGCTCGGTCTCATGCTGTCTGCTTACTCAGCTGTCACTACCAAATAGCTGTAGGTCAACACATGTCAAATGCAAGGTTCTTAGGGCGATGTTCGAGCCGTGGACAAAGGCGCAAGGAGACTAGACGCACCGTGGTGCGCAAAGCAGGTCACCCGTGGTGCAACAAGTGAGTACAAGTTTCAACAATACTACTGACGGTCGTCTTGACCTGAGCAGTAACTGTCTGGCCAAGATCAGGCAATGCCTCTACGATCTGGTTCGTGTGAGACGCGGTCTGCGTAGGGTCGAGATGCTTCTCATCACAAATGAGGTTCACTTTGTGGACCAGATCTATCAATTGGGCTGCGTTCATGAGGGTTCCCATGGCCAGACTGGAGCTCGTTTTGGCCAACTCCTGAGTGCGAGTTTTCAAGGCTCGCGGCGATCCTGTGCCGTCCAAGTAGGCGTGCCATGCTGCGTTCCACTGGTCATCGTCAGCACACTCATTCAGGAATTGCAGGTTATAGGACCCGCCCCACCTGTCGAAGAGCGCCAGTGCTTGACTCATCTCCTCCAATACCAACATCGTTTCAACCTTTGTACAAATGGTCCTGGCCGATGAACCCAAAATGCCTGTGGAAGATATTCAAGTTGTCCGGGCCAAGACTGTTGCTGTTCGGCTGAAGTGAGCACAACAAAAGGCCAAGCTCGATACTGGTTTGGTCTAAGTCGCTCACTCAGTCTATCACTCTGCTCTTGGCAGCCCGACAAGAGCTCGAAGGAAACTGCGCACCAGAGGACATGGACGCGCAACTCGAAACCAAAAAGATAAAACTCTAACCTCTACATACAACAATTTCTTTCCCCTCATCTGAACCAAACAACGAAATGAAAGCTAAGACTCAGATCCAGGGGTTTAGGGTCCTTCAGAGATTTGGAGGGTTTCGGTGACCCAAAGACCATGAGCTGTTCAAAGAGTGGAAACCCTGGGCTCCCCATGTAGCAATACTTAAAGTAGCAAGGATGCTCAAAAGAATGACCAGACCAGTCGCGATAAGAATGACCATGGTCGCACGGTCGAACGACAAGAACACAACAAAAATAGAAAGAGCAAGTAAACCCCAATTAAACAGCTGGCATCTGCGCCATTTGTTGGTGTGTTTTCAATTCAGGATTTGACATTGGTTGGATAGGTCTACTAAACTTTCACCGCTAAATTTCTCATGAAGTGCTTGACGCCTCCCACGGGGAAACGACCCTCAATGTGAATGACGAAGACGTGCTCTTCCAAACCTCGACGTGGCGCACTTCTCTCCTATCAAACTCGAACTTCACGTCAACATGCAATTTCCTTCTTCAAATTCTATTGTAACGACTGCTTGTTGGATGAACTGCGTGAAGTCATGTACTGGCTGACCAGCAAATGGTTCATGCAAAGCATGTGCAAAGCACACTTTTTGGACCCTTTTATATGTCCTCTGCTCGGTCGGCTGAAGGCACTTTCTCATATTAAGGCACGATTTTGCCACCTCCAGCCGACCAAGCCTTGTCAAGACGGAGAAAATCCGCGCACAAAGCACCATCAAGCTCGGTCTCATGCTGTCTGCTTACTCAGCTGTCACTACCAAATAGCTGTAGGTCAACACATGTCACATGCAAGGTTCTTAGGGCGATGTTCGAGCCGTGGACAAAGGCGCAAGGAGACTAGACGCACCGTGGTGCACAAAGCAGGTCACCCGTGGTGCAACAAGTGAGTACAAGTTTCAACAATACTACTGACTGTCGTCTTGACCTGAGCAGTAACTGTCTGGCCAAGATCAGGCAATGCCTCTACGATCTGGTTCGTGTGAGACGCGGTCTGCGTAGGGTCGAGATGCTTCTCATCACAAATGAGGTTCACTTTGTGGACCAGATCTATCAATTGGGCTGCGTTCATGAGGGTACCCATGGCCAGACTGGAGCTCGTTTTGGCCAACTCCTGAGTGCGAGTTTTCAAGGCTTGCGGCGATCCTGTGCCGTCCAAGTAAGCGTGCCATGCTGCGTTCCACTGGTCATCGTCAGCACACAGAGCGCCAGTGCTTGACTCATCTCCTCCAACACCAACATCGTTTCAACCTTTGTACAAATGGTCCTGGCCGCCAAGACTGTTGCTGTTCGGGTGAAGTGAGAACAACAAAAGGCCAAGCTCGATACTGGTTTGGTCTAAGTCGCTCACTCAGTCTATCACTCTGCTCTTGGCAGCCCGACAAGAGCTCGAAGGAAACTGCGCACCAGAGGACATGGACGCGCAGCTCGAAACCAAAAAGATAAAACTCTAACCTCTACATACAACAATTTCTTTCCCCTCATCTGAACCAAACAACGAAATGAAAGCTAAGACTCAGATCCAGGGGTTTAGGGTCCTTCAGAGATTTGGAGGGTTTCGGTGACCCAAAGACCATGAGCTGTTCAAAGAGTGGAAACCCTGGGCTCCCCATGTAGCAATACTTAAAGTAGCAAGGATGCTCAAAAGAATGACCAGACCAGTCGTGATAAGAATGACCATGGTCGCACGGTCGAACGACAAGAACACAACAAACATAGAAAGAGCAAGTAAACCCCAATTAAACAGCTGGCATCTGCGCCATTGGTTGGTGTGTTTTCAATTCAGGATTTGACATTGGTTGGATAGGTCTACTAAACTTTCACCGCTAAATTTCCATGAAGTGCTTGACGCCTCCCACGGGGAAACGGCCCTCAATGTGAATGACGAAGACGTGCTCTTCCAAACCTCGACGTGGCGCACTTCTCTCCTATCAAACTCGAACTTCACGTCAACATGCAATTTCCTTCTTCAAATTCTATTGTAACGACTGCTTGTTGGATGAACTGCGTGAAGTCATGTACTGGCTGACCAGCAAATGGTTCATGCAAAGCATGTGCAAAGCACACTTTTTGGACCCTTTTACATGTCCTCTGCTCGGTCGGCTGAAGGCACTTTCTCATATTAAGGCACGATTTTGCCACCTCCAGCCGACCAAGCCTTGTCAAGACGGAGAAAATCCGCGCACAAAGCACCATCAAGCTCGGTCTCATGCTGTCTGCTTACTCAGCTGTCACTACCAAATAGCTGTAGGTCAACACATGTCAAATGCAAGGTTCTTAGGGCGATGTTCGAGCCGTGGACAAAGGCGCAAGGAGACTAGACGCACCGTGGTGCACAAAGCAGGTCACCCGTGGTGCAACAAGTGAGTACAAGTTTCAACAATACTACTGACGGTCGTCTTGACCTGAGCAGTAACTGTCTGGCCAAGATCAGGCAATGCCTCTACGATCTGGTTCGTGTGAGACGCGGTCTGCGTAGGGTCGAGATGCTTCTCATCACAAATGAGGTTCACTTTGTGGACCAGATCTATCAATTGGGCTGCGTTCATGAGGGTTCCCATGGCCAGACTGGAGCTCGTTTTGGCCAACTCCTGAGTGCGAGTTTTCAAGGCTTGCGGCGATCCTGTGCCGTCCAAGTAGGCGTGCCATGCTGCGTTCCACTGGTCATCGTCAGCACACTCATTCAGGAGCCCCACTTGTCGAAGAGCGCCAGTGCTTGACTCATCTCCTCCAACACCAACATCGTTTCAACCTTTGTACAAATGGTCCTGGCCGATGAACCCAAAATGCCTGTGGAAGATATTCAAGTTGTCCGGGCCAAGACTGTTGCTGTTCGGTTGAAGTGAGCACAACAAAAGGCCAGGCTCGATACTGGTTTGGTCTAAGTCGCTCACTCAGTCTATCACTCTGCTCTTGGCAGCCCGACAAGAGCTCGAAGGAAACTGCGCACCAGAGGACATGGACGCGCAGCTCGAAACCAAAAAGATAAAACTCTAACCTCTACATACAACAATTTCTTTCCCCTCATCTGAACCAAACAACGAAATGAAAGCTAAGACTCAGATCCAGGGGTTTAGGGTCCTTCAGAGATTTGGAGGGTTTCGGTGACCCAAAGACCATGAGCTGTTCAAAGAGTGGAAACCCTGGGCTCCCCATGTAGCAATACTTAAAGTAGCAAGGATGCTCAAAAGAATGACCAGACCAGTCGTGATAAGAATGACCATGGTCGCACGGTCGAACGACAAGAACACAACAAAAATAGAAAGAGCAAGTAAACCCCAATTAAACAGCTGGCATCTGCGCCATTGGTTGGTGTGTTTTCAATTCAGGATTTGACATTGGTTGGATAGGTCTACTAAACTTTCACCGCTAAATTTCCCATGAAGTGCTTGACGCCTCCCACGGGGAAACGACCCTCAATGTGAATGACGAAGACGTGCTCTTCCAAACCTCGACGTGGCGCACTTCTCTCCTATCAAACTCGAACTTCACGTCAACATGCAATTTCCTTCTTCAAATTCTATTGTAACGACTGCTTGTTGGATGAACTGCGTGAAGTCATGTACTGGCTGACCAGCAAATGGTTCATGCAAAGCATGTGCAAAGCACACTTTTTGGACCCTTTTACATGTCCTCTGCTCGGTCGGCTGAAGGCACTTTCTCATATTAAGGCACGATTTTGCCACCTCCAGCCGACCAAGCCTTGTCAAGACGGAGAAAATCCGCGCACAAAGCACCATCAAGCTCGGTCTCATGCTGTCTGCTTACTCAGCTGTCACTACCAAATAGCTGTAGGTCAACACATGTCAAATGCAAGGTTCTTAGGGCGATGTTCGAGCCGTGGACAAAGGCGCAAGGAGACTAGACGCACCGTGGTGCACAAAGCAGGTCACCCGTGGTGCAACAAGTGAGTACAAGTTTCAACAATACTACTGACGGTCGTCTTGACCTGAGCAGTAACTGTCTGGCCAAGATCAGGCAATGCCTCTACGATCTGGTTCGTGTGAGACGCGGTCTGCGTAGGGTCGAGATGCTTCTCATCACAAATGAGGTTCACTTTGCGGACCAGATCTATCAATTGGGCTGCGTTCATGAGGGTACCCATGGCCAGACTGGAGCTCGTTTTGGCCAACTCCTGAGTGCGAGTTTTCAAGGCTTGCGGCGATCCTGTGCCGTCCAAGTAGGCGTGCCATGCTGCGTTCCATTGGTCATCGTCAGCACACTCATTCAGGAACTGCAGGTTATAGGACCCGCCCCACTTGTCGAAGAGCGCCAGTGCTTGACTCATCTCCTCCAACACCAACATCGTTTCAACCTTTGTACAAATGGTCCTGGCCGATGAATCCAAAATGCCTGCGGAAGATATTCAAGTTGTCCGGGCCAAGACTGTTGCTGTTCGGGTGAAGTGAGCACAACAAAAGGCCAAGCTCGATACTGGTTTGGTCTAAGTCGCTCACTCAGTCTATCACTCTGCTCTTGGCAGCCCGACAAGAGCTCGAAGGAAACTGCGCACCAGAGGACATGGACGCGCAACTCGAAACCAAAAAGATAAAACTCTAACCTCTACATACAACAATTTCTTTCCCCTCATCTGAACCAAACAACGAAATGAAAGCTAAGACTCAGATCCAGGGGTTTAGGGTCCTTCAGAGATTTGGAGGGTTTCGGTGACCCAAAGACCATGAGCTGTTCAAAGAGTGGAAACCCTGGGCTCCCCATGTA